TCTATCTGACTAAAAATACCTAACACAGCTATGGGAGTCATAATAACTTTCCCTCCTTCTTCAAATTGATGAGGGGATCAGGGGGCTAATTTGACCCTTAAGGAGCCACACCTAGACACAAACTCCCTGAGAGGCCCAGATTAAGTCATCCATAAACCACACATCACCCAGCGGTTGCCAGCCCATTCCCTCGCCCTGTACACGTCATCTGCAGCTTGCTGTGGAAAGAAATGGCCCATGAAGTAAATGAATATACTTTATTTCCTAACACGGTAGACAGAAGCAGCAGCAAAGATGTCAAATGAAAGATTATAATGAGCCAAATCCAATTAAATACAATGCTGATTCAAATGAGGACAGGCTTGTTGAATATGCAGCTTGCTGTACAACACACTTCCTCTCAAATTTGCTTTAAAGGAAACCATGTTTTTACTAGAATAGTAGCAAATCTGGATATCTAGGAACATGTCAGATTTAATTATGCTGCAGTTTGGTTTAAACAGTCCTTTGCTTTTCTTAAGATGCTTCTTCTGTGGTGCTTTTGAGCAAGGCAGTTATTCCAAAGTGCTCCAGTCACTGACATGTACTAACTGTTTTAAATTGTAAAACAAAAAAGACCTTTGATAGGAGAATGACAAAAACATGCACTGCTGTTTCATTTTCAAAAGTCCATGAATGATTTTGTGTTTTCAGTGATATTCTTAAAATTTTTAAGATGAAAAAACACCGCATTATAAAAATAAACAATGTCCATGAGCTAGTTCACATTGTCTAACCTACATGTGAACTCAGAGTTCTGTTCTCTTATGAAGTTATGAATACCACAAAAAACCAGCCTGGCTCCAGACCTTTGAATCACTGCCCACATCTCAGATTCCGTATTTCACACAGGTCTAGTGTTGTGCTCACTGATGGTCATTACATAAGTTACAGAAAACCTAACTAATCAGAGCTTTGAAGGCTGGATCAAGAATGTCATTGTCCTACTTCATAGCTTGCTAGCTCCTAGCAGAATCTGTGAAAATCATGAGTAAAACAATGGCGACCAGCACGGTTAAAACTGATGCAACTGTACAGGTTGTTGGTGACACAGGAGACATTTCAGCCATGTTTTTTTTTAACACAAATCCCACACACATCCCTCAGAACAGATATGCTTCTATGCTTCTACTTTAATCAGTCCAGCTCTCTACACAGGCCGATACCAATGTGTGTTTCATTCATGCTATAATTGCATAACCACAACCTGAAGCATATTTTTACACTTCAAAGCTGTTTTCATCCGTTTTATATGCTCCACTGATCATGTGTGGCAAAACACAGGCATCCTACACTCAGTACTGTACCGGATGTCCCTCAGCATAGAGCTGGAAGCTGCTGCTTAACTCGTGTTCTGATTTCACTAAACAGGCTGAATGAATGAAAGAAGTCAAATGAAATGCCAGCTCAATCTGACTGTCCAGTTACAACATGAGAACACACTGTATGAGGCAATGCTCCGTGCTCAGCCTTCCTTTGATAACAGCTCTTTTTAAAACCAAGAGATCATTCAGATTCAGAAAAGTAAATCCTGAAGTAAGATTAAATCTGATGATGTTTGTGTTTATAAGGAACTGAAGTCTTCCGGTTCTTGTACCATTGCTAACTCTGAGAGACGAGACAGTCCAAGTAACTTCAATACAGTGCTGATTTATTCAATGAACACAGGTAAAAATTAACATTACACGCTCAGGTACCTTCCACCTCCAACATGCACGCAGGCAGCTGAAGGATGCAAAAGACCCTGAACCAAACCAGGCCTATACATTATATCCCTTCGGTTGGGCTAGCCCCATTCTACACAGACACGTCAAACCATGACGTGTCCCTGGTGCCAGCTTTGCAGCTGGCCATGGCAGTAGTCAAAACATGAAGCAAATCAATGTGTGTGTGTCTGTTGATTGTGGTGTGTAACTAAAAACATTCTCACATGACCCCTAGTGACATGTCATGACATTAAACATAAGAACATATTATGGCTAAGGCTACAGTTATACACGTCATAATATTAATATTAAACACCCTGTCTGCTGACAGTCATCAACTTTTCTCTCTAGTTATCCTTGACCAGATGTACCCTGTAGAAATTCATAAGCATGACTAAGCATTAAACAGTCTAACTAGACATCCTATCTCCATTAACCATTTCTAATACATACAAGTACCTAACCAATGTCTATCTGACCAAAAATTACTAACAGAACAAACGACAAACCTCAGAATGGCTGCAAAGACTGTGGTGTGCATCAGACAGGGTTTGTACATTAATGTATGTCCAGTCTGAACACTTGGCTTCAAAAACTCTCTCCCTGGTGGCTGGTCCACAGCTGCCATTTTTAACACTGGCGGTAACAGCGTCCATGTAGGTCTTTTAAATAAGAATTCAACCAGCGATCATCATGACAAATGTCTGAGTCTGTTTTCTCTCCTGCTCATTCACTTGACTGACAGATTCAAAATGCGTTGACTGTTAACAGCTGGTCGTAGAATGCGCTGGTCCCTGGAGGGAAGCCCGCTCAGTGAGCCACGGGAGATTCAATGGTCTTGCTCAAGGATGCTCAACATGACAAACGGCTGCTGATGGAGAAATTATTGGTTTTGTGGGAGCCAAACCTGAAACATTTTGGTTACTGAAGCTTGGTGTGGCTGACGTTCTACACTTGAAAATTAAACCGCTTCTTTCTGATGCAAGTATCAGATGATTTAACGAAACAAATTCCTATTGATTTCCAGTTGGGAGCACTCAGAGACATGTTTTGTTTATTGCTATTCTGCAAATCAGCGGAGCACAGCG